GCCGAGTTCACCTAGCATGAATGGTGTTGCTGAGAGACGAAATCGCACATTAAAGGATATGGTTCGAAGTATGATTTGCCAATCTACTTTACCGCGATCCTTGTGGGGGGAAGCACTAAAGACTGCAGTCTACATCCTAAATCAAGTACCAACTAAGGCGACTGCTAAAACACCCTATGAACTTTGCACTGGGCGCAAGCCTAACTTACGGCATTTTAGGGTGTGGGGTTGTCCAGCTGAAGCGAGGCCTTATAGGCCAAATGAACCAAAACTAGCTCCTCGTACGGTTAGCTGTTATTTCATTGGTTACTCATAACGGTCAAAGGGGTAAAATTTTATGATCCCACATCAAGAAATATTTTTGAGACGAGCACTGCCATGTTCTTTGAGGATGTTGAGTTTGAGGGGAGAAATACAGTTTCAGACTTTACTTTTGAGGATCAAGAAATCACCAAAGTGGTTGACCCGATCCCTCAAGATGAAATAGTCATTCCAGCTCCCATACAGTTTCAAGATACAATTGAGGAGCCTGTTCATTTTGAACCCGAACCTCAACATGTACCTATATAACAAACTCAACAAACTCAAGAACATGCAGTTCAAGAGCCAACACTTTTGCGGAGATCCACTAGAGAACGTAGATATGCCATTCCGCATGATTATTTGGTATTTCTTCAAGAAAATGAGAGTGTGGATGGCTTGAATGAGGATGATCCAATCAACCTCAAACAAGTCATGAAGGATCCCAACTCAAATAAATGGATCGAAGCAATGCGTGAAGAGTATAAGTCAATGCAAGACAATAAGGTTTGGGAACTTGTCCCATTGCCAGAAGGTGCAAAACCCGTTGGTTGCAAATGGATTTTTAAAACCAAACGAGATGCAAATGGCAATGTGGAGAGGTATAAAGCACGTCTTGTGGTTAAAGGCTATACTCAAAGGGAAGGAATTTACTATAAAGAGACCTTTTCTCCGGTATCCTCAAATGACTCTTTTAGAATAATTATGGCTCTGGTGGCACATTTTGATTTAGAGCTACATCAGATGGATGTAAAGACGGCTTTTCTCAATGGTGACATTGATGAGACGATCTATATGGTACAACCAGAAAGCTTTGAGGTCAATGACCCGAAGAAAATGGTTTGTAAATAAAGAAAATCCATCTATAGGCTCAAACAAGCGTCTCGACAGTGGTATCACAAATTTCATCAAATAATTGTCTCGTATGGTTATGAGATGAATGTTGTTGATGATTGTGTTTATCACAAGTTCAGTGGGAGTAAATTTATTTTTCTGGTTTTGTATGTGGATGATATTTTGCTTGCCACAAACGATATGTGCATGTTGCACGAAACTAAGAGATTTCATTCAAATGATTTTGAAATGAAAGATCTTTGTGAAGCGACTTTTGTATTAGGAATGCAGATACACCGGGAGCGATCTCGAGGTATTCTAGGGTTGTCGCAAAAGAGCTATATCGATAAAGTGCTTGAACGATTTGGCATGCAGAACTGCAAACCAAGAAATACCCCTGTGGCTAAAGGAGACAAATTTAGCCTAAGTCAATTCCCAAAGGGAAATTTGGAAATCCAGGAAATACAAAAGATCCCTTACGCCTCGGCGGTTGGGAGCCTAATGTATGCTCAAGTATGTACGCGTCCGGATATTGCGTACATAGTTGGT